CTGGATTGGGTATCTAGGCTGCCCAATGGAATCTTGCAAATTCAGTTTCTCAGCGAGCATTTGAAATGGACCAACAGTGAAAAGACCCAAGGTTTAGTTCTCAAACATTTCCATTGGTATTGTGGTAGTGTATGTATGTTTTATTTTTTAAAAATATTCTCTATTTTTTATGATCCCCCAAAATGAAAATACGTGCAAAACTCGATGGACGAGCATCTACCCGGTACAGTGCGGTTACCGTAGTACTCCGCTAACCCATCGTAAAAGTACACTGTGGTTATATAGTAAGCTGTTCATTATTGAATATGATTCTATTTATAATAGCATTTAGTTTTTTGTAATGGGAGGGGGGGACAAAATTCATTTTTCATCGATCATGATCCCAAACTTTTGAGGTATTGTATCGATGTCCGAAGACATCAAATAGGTCTAATGATTCTGCTTGGGTGGCAAAAGTGGGATAGGTGTCATCACTGGAGATTGAGAAGGACAAATTGCCGATAACGTTGTCACTCTCTTGTAGATCTTGTTTTCTATTGGATCGGCCCTCTCGGCGAGTGGTCTGTTTGCTGGAGGATGGACTCGAAAATTCTTGTGATGACATTCGTTGCGGAATTGGACACAGAGTCTTGTTGTCTCTATGATCAGAGCGACAGGAGGAGAAACGATCATATTCAGGAGAATCGGCACACTTTCTCGGTGACGAAAATGTTGTTGGATCCGATGCATACATTCGTTCTTCGAGCGTGGAAAGATACTGCCTTTGATCAGAGGTGGCGAAGAGTTCATCTTCCAAGGTGATGGCAGAGACCACACTGCAATTCGCCAGTTCTGAAAAGCTTGCGCTGTAGTGGATGGTGCTGACAGTGTCAGATCTGACCGCCTTGTTAAATGGTTGTCGGTTCATCTTGATTTCAGTTCTGTTTAGTTTTGCCTTGATTGTAAGTTGTGAGCAAACAGTGATGGCAAAACGCTGTTATATACAAAATCGGAGAAAAAAGGTGAGCAGGTGTCTCCGGACCTAGCACACGCAGACGAGCCATTCCACCTGCGACCTTTAAAGATCGAGGCAGTGTCCTCTCTCTGGCGGCGCAATTTTGTCTTGATCCGGCACTCAGGTTCGAAATATACACAAGCTTTTTTCGACTCACATATTCGCCAAGCCAGTCTTGAGTTTATCGCGAGCAAAAGATTAGCCGAATATCATTTTAACGCGACGAACGCTTCAAGGTGCTCTTTGGAAATTATCAGTGTCTTTGGATATTATAGATACCGCATTATGTATCTGCCGCTATGAAACTGTTTTCTGAACAGAGAACAACTTCATGATTGATTCCGGCACCTCATGTGGTACTCAGACCGAGCCAATAGTTTACCCGTCTATGTATCTTATCCTGCGGATAGCCTCTACCTCATGTCCCGATAAGAACGATGTGTAGGACCTTGTATATATA